TGCAATGACAGAGGTTGTGTTTGTCTGTCTGTGAGGAGGAGGAGGAGCTGATGCAAACTATGATCTATATGAAACTATGATGGTTGAATGTGTGATAAGGAATATAAGGCAGGGAGTACATGATTAACCTCCAATGTAGATAAGAGCACACCTGAGAACTCAAAGCCACCTGAGGAATTGTATTCCCAGTAAAACTAATTGTATTATCGTTCAGAAAAGCCTCAGTGTTGACAAGGCAGAGTCATGGCAAATTAATCTCAATAATAATTTAACGAATTAGATCAAAAATAAGACCCGAGTTGCAACAAAAAGGAAAGTTAATCCACAGTTAATACCACCAAGGCAATGACAACGTGCCGGACACAAACAGTTTGATGCCGAGTCAAGCAAAGTCACAGCTATGCCATCTGAGACACACTTATGTCTGTAGTGTGCTGTCAAATACTGTACATTTGTGTGTTCAGCAGAAATAAAGAACAACAGTGAGCAGAAAAAAAACAAAACAATGAGTGGCTGCAAAAAATGATGAAGTACAGGTAGAGCACAGTGGCCAGCACTAGTAGCAGTATACGATAAAATGTTATGAAAGTAGTGTGTGAATGACTGTCTTAATACACTGTCAGTTTTATAATATGTTACATAATTAATAATAAATATTCTATTTTTTTAAATTACAAACATAATATAATAAAATCATAAAAAACTGGAAAATTGTACATGATAATTTTCTACTTTTGTAGCTTTGACTTTGTGAAACAGCAGTATTTTTTACTGAGGAGGAGGAGTCAATGCAAAACTCCTACATTCAGTAACTTTATAAATGTTCAAGAATACGAGTCAGGGACCCAATCTCATATACCCACTGTAGACTGGACAAAAACAACTGATTCTTACAATGACCGGACCTGTTCATTTAGTTATTTTCCTTATTCTGTTTTTTTTTCATGGCTGGTAAGGACTTGTTTTTTTAAATTTAAAAACTGATATAACTGATATGAAGAAAAGTGATTAAACTAATAAGTGGTTAACATTTTTGTAGGTACTGAGGGTCAAACACTGACAGAGTCTGAATCAGTGGTTAAAAGGCCTGGAGACTCCCACAGACTGACCTGTACATACTCAGGGTTCAGTGGTGATTATAGTAATGCTTGGATCAGACAGGCTGCTGGAAAAGGACTAGAATGGATCGCTTTGATCAACACTGGCAGCAGCACCTGGTACTCTCAGTCATTCAGAGGCCAGTTTACCATCTCCAGAGACAACAGCAGAAAGCAGGTGTATCTGCAGATGAACAGCTTGACAACTGGGGACTCTGCTGTTTATCATTGTGCTCGAGAGTCACAGTGACACAAGAGGAAGAAACTCTGTACAAAAACTCAGCACATCACAAAAGGAACAATTTACTTTATGCTGTTCACAATGACAGTAATGAACTGCAGTTCAACATCATTAACACAAGAAGAAACAACAAAGGCACAAGGAGCTGCAAAACATTTAACACTATCAATTGGGATTAGTAATCAGTTTAATAATCTATTTCAAATATTTACTGAAATTACAGTCTTATTTAGTTTTCAGCCCACATGTACTAATCTTTGATAGTATCTTTTTTAATGATATTTCTGAATTACGCCAAAATAAAACATAGAAAAGAGTATGTTGTTTTTCAGACTCTCCAACTTTAAACCAGAGGACTCTTCTGTGCACAGTATTACTGTGTCTGAATGTTGAAGATATACAAAAACTCAATCAGTTCCTTTGTTATTTAAAAAGTACGGCTCTAAATATGAATGCACAAATGCAAACTAAGAGGGAGCAGCTGGTGTTGTGGTTTGTGGTCTTCTGTTCCTTATTATCAATAAAATGTTATTTTCTTTCATATGCATACAGGTACACACAACAACAGCTCATCATATAGTTTATGAATTCCTGTTTCCATCACTCTGAACGGTCCTACATACTCAAAAGAGTCAAAAGAGATTCTGAATCTCAAGAGTTTCTTTTCCTGGTTAATATCAGCATAAAAATTCTTTCTGAGCAGAAAAAACAGACAAAAACCCCATAGATGCTTTAATAACTGTAATAGACCACCACCCAGTGTAAGGTTTATGACACAGCTACCCCAAAGTACTTATAATAATATATATTTTTTTATATATTAATAACTAGTTACTAGTTAATTACTGATCTTATCCATGCAGTTTTTAAATTGTTTTATTTAAAAATAGCAACAAAAAAAGGAAATCACATTATTATGTATATTAAGATGTTAAATTACAGATATTTATTTCCTAAATTGAAAAAAAAAAACTTTTATTGGTTAACTGTTATGCTTGATTAATTTCTGACTTTTCTGACAGAGGAGTCATGTGTACCAGCTATTTCCAAAAAACAGGTTTTTGACAGATTTATATTTTTTTTTATGACAAGTGTATAAATATTTTAAGCACTGTAGTATTGATTTCTTTATAATGATAGCCTGAATACTTGCTGAATGCTAAATTTCTGTGACCTGGAGTGTGGTTCTCTTTGAGGAGGAACACATGCAAAATTATATCCTCCATCTTTGAATATGTGTCACAGGATAAAAAACAAGGACTACATGATTGAATCACACCAATGTGAACTGGGCAGAGACAAATGGCTCCTACAATGAACCGTTTGAAGGCTGTTTTTCTTGTCCTGTCAGTTTACTGGGTTGGTAAGGACAGAAGTATTTCTTTTACAAACATTATGACTCGATGACAAATTATATGCTTGAAATACAAAGGCTAATTATCTTTTTATCTGCAGGTACTGAGGGTCAAACATTGACTGAGTCTGAATCAGTGATTAAACAGCCTGGACAATCCCACAGACTGACCTGTACATACTCAGGGTTCGGTGGTGATATTTATGCTGCTTGGATCAGACAAACTGCTGGAAAAGGACTAGAATGGATTGCTTATATCAACCCTGGCAGTAGCAGCATCTACTACTCTCAGTCAGTCAGAGGCCGGTTTACCATCTCCAGAGACAACAGCAGAAAGCAGGTGTATCTGCAGATGAACAGCTTGACGACTGAGGATTCTGGTGTTTATTATTGTGCTCGAGAGTCACAGTGATACAAGAGGAAGAAACTCTGTACAAAAACTCAGCACATCAGAAAAGGGAACAATTTACTTTCTGCTGTTCACATTTATAGTAATGAACTGCAGTTCAATCTCATTAACACAAGAAGAAACAACAAAGGCGCAAGAATCTCCAAAATATTTAACAATATCTGTTGGGATCAGTCATCAATTTGATCATCTATTTCAAATATTTACTATAAATTGCACTCAGCATCTTGTTTAGTTTTCAGTCCACATGCATTAATCTTTATTAGTACCTTTTTAAAGATAGACTTATTTATCATTACTTATAGCAGCCTGCAGGGAAAGGAGTGGTATGGATCTGAATATAATCCTGGTGATTCACTCAGCAAAGATTTAGTAAAGAATAAGTTTAACATCAACTTAGACTCTTCCAGCAAAGCACTTACTGCAAGTGGACAGATTGTGGAGACTGAAGACACTGCTGTGTATTACTGTGGAAGAGAACCACAGCATCAAAACATCCGTAGAGTTGAACAAAAACCCCTCAGTGCCTAAACAGTTATAACATGAAGCCACCAGAGGAGGAGCCCTCAGACCACTGATGAATTTAAGATATTACATTATTCAAGTGATTTTATTATGTAACTCAATGTGAGTTACATCATGCTAGAAGAATGACTGATGTGAAAATACATGAGTCAGTAGATATGTCTTTATTGTATTTCACTTTGACATCTACAAACTAAAACTCTGCACAGATACTTTGTGGCCACTGTGTTTACCTCTGATTGTTATTAAATAAGCAAACATCAGAATTTTTCTGAGGGTGTTTTTATTGTTGTTGTTGTTGTTTACTAGCTGTCAGAAATCCCATTTAAAATATATTTTAACAGATTTTGCATTGTTTAGAAAACAGGTTAAATAACTTAGTTAACACTAAAATTATTGACATTTTAACAATTTTATGCTGTTACACCCTATCTTGATTGTGATGATCCATTTATAAGCAGTATATTTCTCACTGTTATGTTGTCATGTTATATTACAGTTCAAACAAGTGTGTATCACATGCCTGTAGTATGAAGTGGAAGTCTAGTTGTGTAATTGTACAATATTGAGAAAATATAGATGTTTGTTTAACTAACTGTTTTTGTTTCTTGTTTTGGCGCTTTTAACATTTTAGATATTTTTAGTAAAATTTTAAAGATTTTCAAAATGCACATATCACTGACAGTCACTGCGAGCAGGTTAACCAGTGAATATTTATAAGAGTAATTTGATTAAATGACAAACAGTTTAAACAGTTTAAATCTAAACATAAACACTGTGTGATAATTAAGATCTGATAACTGTAAAGATTTTAGGAACTGAAAATATAACTTTATTGCATGCAACCAATGTACATATTTTTTCATGTTCTTGATAACTTGATAGCAGAGGATTTTATTGTTTATTACTGTGCTGGAGACTCACAGCGTCACAGGAGTGAGAAACATCATTTTCTCACAGAAGTTACAGAGATTACATTTAACTCATCAACATACTGGAAGATTCAGTAAAGCTGCTTCACTGCGAGATTGTTTTTGTGAAGACTCTGTGTTCTCCAGTTTTACATTAAATATTTTGTCTGTCCATGTGTACAAGCCAATGTGACTATTTTCATCGGCCTTGTCTAAATAGAGTTTTTTAAGGAATGAAAAACACATCAAACTTTACATTTGTGTTATAAATAATATTTTTATTGGAATTATCTCCATTTTTAAATTGTTTTAATTACTGATTGCCACAGTGTGATCTCTTATAATCTGTCAGCATCCATCTATATGCAAAGCAAACTTCCTGACACTCTGCTATAAAGACTTGAAATCATGGTGTCAGTTAAAGCAGAAGAAAAGTTCTCATCAGATTATCTTGAATACTAAAATGTCCTCTGTGGCTCTGCTGCTCCTGCTGGCTGCTGGATCCTGTGAGTCTGACTGGAAAAAAACACTGACAGTAGGATCACAGCATACTGACTGTTACTGTCACATAAAACATGTTTTCTCCACAGGTGTGAAGTGTGAACAGCTGACACAGCCAGAGTTTGTGACTGTGCAGCCAGGTCAGCATCTGACCATCACCTGTCAGGTCTCTTATTCTCTTAGCAGCTATTGGACAGGACTGGAGTGGATTGGGGTGAAATACACTGGGGACTCTCGCTATAAAGATTCACTAAAGAGCAAGTTCAGCATTGACTTGGACACTTCAAGCAAGACAGTGACTCTAAATGGACAAAATATAGAGCCTGAAGACACTGCTGTGTATTACTGTGCCAGAGAGTCACAGTAACACATAACATCAGCAGACCTGAACAAAAGCCCCTCACTGCATGCACACATTTGAAACATGAAGCCACCAGAGGAGGAGCTCCAAGACCAATAATAAATTAAAGGGTCTATTTACTCAAAACAAAAATAGAAAAAAATTTGGAAATTCCTTATTGTGTTGCTATTCTTGATCGAGGTAGTCGTAGCAACAAATTATGCTCACAGCAGTAAAGCACCAGTTTACCATCTCCAACGGAAACAACAGAAAGCAGCTGTATCTGTAGATGAGCAGCTTGACATCAGAAAACTCTACTGTTTATTAATGTCCTCAAGAGACACAAAGCAAAGACCCTATCCTTTCATAACTTGTTAGAACGGTTTTATTATTATTTTATTAATTTTGTTTTATTATTTGTTATGAAAAACAAATTTCACAATCTAATGATACAGTCATTTTCTTTTCCTTCAGATTCAATGCAATACAAAAACAGAATAGAAAAATGATTCAAAAGAATCTGTGCTATTTTATATAAATGCAAACTGTGTTCTGTTGTGTTGTGTTTTTATGGAGTCCGCAGCAGAGAGACCCTAGAGTAAATGGACAGAATATTCAGCCCGAATAGACTCGTGTATTACAGGGCCACAGTCACATTCACAGAAAGAAAAATCTAAGACTGCTAATAAATTCCTGTTGTTTCTTTTTATTTTTTAAAACTCCTTAGGAAGAACCTTTTTGTGAGTTTGTAAGTATTGATAAAGCTCTAAAATAAAAGGCCAGTACATGAAACTGAATTCACTGATCAATGAAGTTATAAACTGATTAATTTATAACATAAAATACTTTCGTTAAAAAAAATATTTTGGTTTGCGAACTTGTATTTATTTATTATATTGTACACTTTAATCTATAAACCAATAAGTTGTGCAAAGTACTTGTTTATTTACAGAAATATAGAGCATAACATTTACATGTACAGTAAATGTTATAACATTTTTTTAAATGATAAAAAGTGTTTTTTCTTTAAATTTTATTAGCAATCAAATCAAACTTTTTCATGTTGAATGGATTAAACATACAGAGTCAAGCAAGGACGTAACTACTGAAGTTCTCCTCTTCCTCTAATATTGATGTCTGCACTGTAGACTGGGCAGAGACAAATGGCTTAAACAATGACCAGAAATTATATTTGGCTTGCTTTTCTCATTCTTATTCCAGCAGTCATAAGCCAAAGAGGCAGAGTTCACCCTGGAGAGGTCAATAATCTGTCACGGGGCTAGTTGTAATTTACCTTTTAAAATTCAGGTTTTGATGAATGAAATACCCTTCAACCTCAGAGTCATTTTTTAAGATTGTTTTTGTTTTTCATCTTTTAAAAATGTTAAAAACACAGTCTCTTTCACTGCTTGAACAATCAATGTATCTCTAATAATGGATCAGCGTCCATCTGTATGCAAAGTAAGCTCCCCCACAGACTCGATATATTGCTGCTGGTTGCAAAAGAAGAATAGAAGCTCCTGGGAGATCACCTTCAACACCAACATGTTCTCTGTAGCTCTGCTGCTGCTGCTGGCTGCTGGATCCTGTGAGTCTCACTGAACACAAACACTGACAGCATGAACACTACACACTTTTAATTTGACTGCATTCAATGCGTTTTTTCCACAGGTGTAAACTGTGAGCAGCTGACACAGCCACCCTCTGTTATACTGCAGCCAGGTCAGCGTCTGACCATCACCTGTCAGGTCTCTTATTCTCTTGGCTACTGGACAGCTTGGATCAGACAGCCTGCAGGGAAAGGACTGGAGTGGATTGGGATGAAAGATACTGGGAGCTCTTACTATAAAGATTCACTGAAGAGCAAGTTCAGCATTGACTTAGACACATCAAGCAAGACAGTAACTCTAAATGGACAGAATATGCAGCCTGAAGACTCTGCTGTATATTACTGTGCCAGAGTCTCACAGTAACACAAACTGTTAGGACCCCTGAACAAAAACCTCTCAGGGCCTGAACAACTGTAGCATGAAGCCACCAGAGGAGGAGCCCTTAGACCATGAATGAATTTAAGATGTTTTTCTAAGAAACTTACTCTTGTTTTAGTCTCATAACTGTTTAAATATGGTGGATTTAAATGATGAGTAACAAACACTTGAATAAAATAATTGGGTGAACAAAACTTAAAGACTCCTTGTCTTTACTTCTGTTATTCAAGGTAATCAATAATTAATCAATGCTCAGATATAATGTGAGATTATAGCAACAGCTACTGTATAGTCCAATAACATCACATAAAGTACATTAAGCAGCATTTTATTAGGTGTTTTGGAAACTGCTGATCTGCCATGAATGGTCTGAAAAAGAGAAAATATTCAGTGAGTGGCAGGAGAAAAGGCCTCGCTGATGTCAGAGGTCAGAGGAAAATTTCCAGACATCTTTGAACCGAAATCAACAATAACTCAAATAACCACTCAACACAACCAAGATATGCAGAAGAACATCTGAACCTTTCAGCAGATGAGCAACAGCAGAAGATTTGTTGCAGTTAAACCTGTTCTGAGAACACGTGTTTATATTTGCTTTCAATTGAAGAGCAATTTCACTGCTGCTGTTGACTGTGTGTTATTGTATATAGTCTCTCATACATATTTGAAAATAGTTTGAAGTAATTTGACTGAAACATTAAAAATGCTGGACAGGAAAGTGAGAGAAGTGAGTGAACTGATAAAAGTACAGCTGTTTTGATGAGTTGTGCGAGCAGTATGAACAGAAACAACAGGAGTGTATAAAAGCAGGCTGATGTTACTTCTACTAATGAAGAGTATTGAGAATGTTTTTGTTCTTTTCTGGATCAAATGTGACTGTTATCTGTTCAGATGGATTTTAGATCTATGATTTTGGGTCAAACAAAGGAAAACTGCATCTGTAAGGAATATTAAGCAGTGCCACTGTGCGTGTCATGTCTGAGTGTGCGTACACAAACACAGCTTTGTGTACGTAGCTGAATGTTTAGTCAAAATTATAAATAAAAAATCAACCAAAAATAAGATCATGTGGTTTTATTTCATATTTAAAAAAATGTTTAAGGAGACGTAGCCACATAAAAAAATAAATAAATAACTGGTATAACTGGGTACAGTATTCTGTGTTTGTCTGATGTCAGAAAAACACTGAAAAACAATCTCTCAGAAGAGATCCTTGATCTTAAGGTTTTTAATTCCTCATTAAGTCAACGTATTTAAAAATCGTATGAATGGGTGACCTGAGGGGAAAAAAAAGTCAGTACATATAGTTTCTGCATTCAGAAGGTTGGCCTGAATAATTCAAAATGTGGAGTGTTGACTTGATAATACACACTGAAGGAGAGGATGTGTGTTTGTCTTTAAGGAGGAGGAGCTGATGCAAACTATGATCTCTACCATGTTTGAAGAAATGATGCAGAATATAAGACAGGGAATACATGATTAACCACCACTGTACACGGAGCAGAGACAAATGGCCTTGGCAATGAATCATCCGATGTTTATGGTTGTTTTTCTGATCCTTTCAATTTACTGGGCTGGTAAGGAAAGTGCAGTCGTTTTACTAACATTGTTGTGAAAGTGAAATGATATGCTTGGAAAACAGTCACTAATTATTCTTGTTTGTCTGTAGGTACTGAGAGTCAAACACTGACTGAGTCTGAATCAGTGATTAAAAGGCCCGGAGAC